CAAGATGCTAGGAATTCAACAATGTAGTTATATTGCGCATTACTGTCTCCAAAGGAGTTGTTCAGATTATCAGACATAAGCATGCAAAATGAGTCCAAAAAAATTAAGCATTTGAAAATGGATGTCTTTCTATCTGTTAATGTTTTCAATTTCTTTCGTCACTACTTTACAATTTTCATTGTAGAGGCCTTTCACTTTCTTAGTTATTCCTAGATACTTAATTATTTTTGTGAAAATTTATTATGGTGTATGGAAAAGCTTCTGTTTTTTCTTCATTAATCTTTGTACCTTGCTATTTTAACAGCTGATCATTTCTTACAATCTTTTGATGGGTCTTTTTGGGGTTTCTCTGTTTAGAGTTGCATCATCTGCATAGAGTGATGGTTTGATTTCTTCCTTTGCTGTGTGCATGCATTGTGCCTCACTATCTCACCTAATTCCTCTGGCTAAAATGTCTGAAGAAGGCTAAAAGCACTGAGAATGAGTTCCTTCTGCTTCTGGTCTTAGAGGAAGAGCTCTCAGCTTTTCCCCATTCAGTGGGACGTTGGTGTGGGTCTCTCATACATGGTCTTTATTATGTCTGTGTGCGGTCCTCTAGCCCTAATTTATGGAGGACTTTATCATAAATGCATATTGAATTTTAGCACACATCTTCCTACCTCATAAAACCTTTGTCCTTTGTTTTGTTGATGCAATGTATTGTTCATTGATCTGCAGATGCTGAGCCATCTCTGTCTGGAATAGAACTGACTTCAATGAGGCAGAGGACTTTCTGATGCACTGTAAAATTCACTTTGCCAGTATTTTGTTAAAACTTTTATATCTACACCACAGAGGTTTATATCTTTCTCAAGTAGGCAAGAGAAAAATAAAAAGCACACAAGTCAGGAAGGTGGGAGTCAGACTGTTTGCAGAAAATGTTATAGACATAGAAAAATGCAAATATTCACCTAAAGACTGTTGGAACTGTTAAATTCATTAAAGTAGCAGGATACAAAAATCACTCATTTTTCTATATACCAAAATTATGGTTTATGTCTAAATGTCCCCCAAAAGCCTCATGATGACACAGGAAAAGCATAACTTGCAGTCTGCTAGATGTCAGATGTGCCCAGTTTATGTCTCTTGACATCAAAGAATGACATCCAAAGGACAAAGGGGGTTAAGAGTAGGAAAAGTTTATTGGAGAATAGAAAGAGCTTCTGCGGGACAGGAGGAGCCCCAGGTGAGCTGCATTTAGGATTTCTTAAGGCAAATAGGGAACAGGAATTTAACTGGGTAGTGTCCATAAACACAGATGAATCCATGGATTTAAAATAACCAGCTGACAGTGAAGACTCAGGACATAGGAGAACCTGTACTGTAATATCATGTAACTCAGTTGTGTCCCAAATTTTCTGATCAAGAAGATTATGGAGCCACAGAGGAATATGATCAATAATGTATAGTGTACCTAAGGAGAGTCACATGGAGAGAAAACATTCTCTCAGGCTTTTGCAGAGAGCACATTGGCCAAGCAATGGCTGTGATTCATACACATGGCCGACACTGACAAAGAATCTACAAAGTGCAGTACAGGGCTACAGGATAAATTCTGAGAGTACTTGACTGACTTATCAGATACAAAAGTTACATTTCTTGGTATATAGGTCTTGCTTTATCTTGGTCTTAATCATCCAGCAGAAAAGTATAAAAATGAGGTTATATAAAGTAAAGCCATATTAATACGATGAGCTGTAAAAGGCTCAAGTCAATAGCTTCTGAGGATAGCCCACTACTATCATAGACTGCTGGACAGTGTTGGATTGTTTTGCTGAATTCAAGCACCTATAGTATTTAGATGACAATAGAATACTCATCTCTGACAGGACTAAACAAAAAAAAATGGGCTACAAAGGAAAGATCGTTTTGTATTTATACATACAAACTAGTTAGGATAGATATACAACTCCTTTCACTTAATGAGAAGAAAGAAGAGAGAGGTGTACTAATAGTGTTTGGACAGGGTATCCTGTCTGCTTCTTGTACTATGATAACTAAGAAGATAATAATGTGCAATGTATTGATTATCGAAACTGTCTCATTCATATTTTTCTCAATAAAATTAAAATAATAAAAAAAATCAACTGAGGGCTGGCCAGATAGCTCAGCAGACTAAAGCATCTGCTTAAGCACACCCAGGGACCTGGGTTCAATCCCCAGTATATCCTGCTGGCCCTACCCCCGAGGTGTGCTGAGACAGCAATTGAGACTGGGTGTGGTAGAATGCACCTGTAATCCCAGCGCTTGGGAGGCTGAAAACAGGAAGAGCACTATGAGTCTGATTTGTATCTTGACACCTTGTAGACCTTGTACTAAATACATTTTAAAAATAAAATGACCAAGTGGGACTCAGACTCTACAGCCCAGCTCCTGCACAATGTTTACAGTAAACTGGCATCTCAGTTTAAGATTAAGTTAATTTGCATTATATGCTGAAATTCAGGATCTTAGTTGCAAGGGGCTATACCTCCCTTTAGGACGTTAGGAGGGAGTGGGCTGCATTTCCACACTGCCTGAGAAAATACGTGCCTTGTCCAAATCTTAGTTCACTGTCTTTTCTTGATTGTGATCTGTGTGCCTGGTGTCCACTGTCTGAGGCCCTTCCACAGCTGGCTGCCATGCTCATAAGCTGACTAAATAAACAATCTTCCACAATGGGTGATCGGTGGGACCATTGGTGGGGCCTGGGTTCCAGGGACGTCTAAGCTGGCTGTCAGCAGGCAGGCCCTGCACTCTCTTGACCCCACCCCAGCCTAAATGGAGCCCTGAAGAAAGCCATTTTGTCAGTCCCATATGCAAGGAACAGGGCCTTCTTGAAAGAGTGAATGGTGAACTAATGACCAAAGAAATCTGTGAGAAATTAGCTGGTGAGGGAGAGGATTTAAGCAGGTGACTTCCAATGTATCAGAACAAAAAGCTCTTTCTTCTTTGTAACTTAACTATGTACTGGAAAACCTGAAACAGTGAAAATTGCAGTTAATTCTTTCCTGAGTGTCTCCTCTCTGTGTTTCCATTGCAACAACTAGAGTGTGGTTTTACAGGAAGGGGAGAGTGCAGGTAGAGCAATGTGCACCAACAAACCCTTCACAGATCCAGGCCCCAGAAGTTGGGAAGAAGCTCCACACCCTGCATACTGTCCTTACCTTCATTAGGAAAGCAAAGAGGCTCCCACAGCTGGGATCTTTGGAGCACCTCTGATGGCTTTTAAACCAAGGCTTCCCATAGAAACATCTTAGTGCCCTGCTGCATCACGACTCTTGCACGGCTGGGCAGATAGAGCAGTGGTTAGGGAGGAGTTAGAGCTAAGCAGGATGCCTCATGGTGAGAAGAGTCTAAACAGTGAACCATCCACAGGCATAGAGAAGCAAGTGGCACCATGCTGTGCTCCGGCAGCTGTGCGCTGCCCACATGCAACAAAGGGCTGTTCGTGGCAATTCTTCCTCAAGTGTTAGGAATGGTGGACTGCTTGCTGTCCCTAGCTGTCAGTCTCCCTTATCAGAGTCCCCTGGGAACTCATCAGCAACCCCTCTGGCACCCGAGCCTGTGCAGCTGGTTGGCTCAGGACAGGGCCCAGGCAGGAAAAGCTTTTGTGCCTGTTAACCTAACTTTCACCTGCCTGGGCCGCGGAGATCTCATGTGGAAGTGGGGAGGCATCTATGGACCAGCCCATGCCAGGCAGGGGCATGAGAGCAGACCTCAGTCCAGGAGGTGAAGTCTAAAGAAAACTGAAGGGGGAAAAAAAGTCACAGAATTTTTTTAACAGTAACGTTACTTGAGTTCATTGCATAGCAGCTCAGATGAGTCCTACACGAACCTCCCAGGTGGGGGCAGAGAGGGGCTCCAGTTTTCATTTCCCAATTTTGGCCTGCCTAGGGAGAAAGGGAAGTGACTCCCTCAGGCTGCGGTGACCCGAGTGACTTCTCTGCCACGCTGGGTGGGATGCCATGCAGGATGGGACGAGGGTGCCAGTTTGGAGGCTCCCAGGCCCTAATCCCTTCGCACACCATCTCCTGCCTGCTTTCCAGGGGGGCATAGGGCATGGACAGGAGGCTGGGAGTCTGACACAGACGAGGCCTTGGTCTAAGCCCCTGTGACCCCAGAATCCTCGTGTACAGTTCCTGCAGGGCCACTGAAGACGCAGCATCCATCACCACCTCCTCCTTCGCTTCCTCTGGGCTGCAGAGCAGGCTGGGAAAACATGAGCCAACAGCTAGACTAGATACTTTGGCCCTAGTTGGGTAATATATATTTATTTGGATACTAAATGTGGATATATTTATTTACCTTTGGATTTTGAGATAGGATTTTGCTACAAATTTCAGGCTTGCCTTGAACTCACAGCGATCCTCCTGCCTCAGCCTCAGTGTTGGGATTATAGGCACGCATGTATGTGCCTGGCAATTGATTCGTGGAGGCTGACATTCGAACTGTCTGAAAAGTTCTTTATTAGTTCATGCTTCCAGTATCTGATTCCAGTTACCACAGGGAGTTGACACATACACACAGCACATCTTCATTCTTTATTGAAGAATGAGCACTCTTGCCTCTTTCCCTGCACCTTCCAGATCCTGGTTCCCTTAGATTTGAAAAAGCTTTGTCTCCCACCTCCACCCCACCAACAGATGAATGGGTAAAGAATGATATTTATATGCAATGGAGTACTATTCTGCCACAGAGAAGGATAAAGGAGGCATCCAGAAATAAGGGGATATGCATCTTGAGACCGTAATATTGAGAATTAAACACACATCTCTCTTCTATGAGAAACTAAAAGCACATATAAAGAGAACAGAAGGCAAATAAACAGGAAGTAGGGAGACCTTTTGCAAATGGATGAGTAAAAACTCATCTTAATTTTTTTTTTCATTCCCTTTAACCTTGGAGAGGTAGTGGGCCCTCAAGAAATGTAGAGAAACCCCAGCAACATGACACTTTGAGTGCATTAAATAAATATAAATTTTATTAAAAACACTCACATAGCGTTATCAGGAATGATATAATAAACAGCTTTCAAATAACCTGCATTCATAACATTATAATACTTTACAGTATTTATAACCACCATCAGATTTTACAAACAAACCAAACATCTCATGAAAATGAAATGAGACTAAGTTAAAAAAAAAAAATAAGCATAGAAAAATGCACCCAGAAGTTCATTATTTTAGTGTCCAAATGCAAACATTTCCTACCAAAGTTAGCCCACTAGCTTTTAGAAGTGAACTATGTGTCACTGTGCGTCAATCAAGATGAAAAATTCATTCAAGTAAAGCTGCCACCACCAAAGCATGGTCAGGTGTGGCCATGGAGTCAGCCTGTATCAGCAAACTGTAGGTGGGCTTTCGATTCATTCTAACTGAGGCAGGTGAAGTATGTACAGTTACGGGTCTGGTACATACAATCCGACACTCAGCTTCCTCTCCTCCTCTCTAACCTACCCAAGCTACACTTCCTGCTCTTGTTGGCCAGCAGTTTGAAAATGACAGTGGATGACATAGTCACCAAATATTCATTGGGCAGCTGACTCTCCATCACAAACGCACGCGCAGAGAGCACTGGATTACGGAAAACAGCGCAGCTGTGAGATCCGGATGCAAAGCAAATGGCTTAAAATGCTTATGAATTGGACACAGCCAAAAACTTGAGCGCTTTTTAAAAGACAAAAACCATCTTATAAAGATTTGACCGACAGAAATGAAAGGTCTCCACTGATTTAAAGATTTGACCAATAAAACCTCCACAAAGTCTACAATGATTATAAAGATTTAACCAACAAAACCCAAGAGTTTTCACTGATTAAGAATTTATGTGAAAAGCTAGTAAGCAAAAATGTACTTAGTACAGTCTGACTGGACACCGTGCCTTGCTGTCAGGCCCATTACGGAAGTCCTTGTGAAGTATTTGCCTGTACTGCCTATCTGGTCAGAGTGGGCTTTATGGAGAGTTCGATACTCTGGCCAACAGCTACTTCCCAAACTCCTAGCTTACAAGTTTCCCTTTATCAGCTCAGTGCATTCTATTTTCATGTAATATTTTTCCTCCTTGAAATAGTCAAAAGAGTTTCCACACTTCTTTACAATAACAACCAACAGATTTACAAAAATTAGTCTTACTTACATCAGTACATGTACAAGTAAAATAGGAGGGATTCAAAATAAAAGGGTTAAATCCCTGAAAAAGAATGTATTTATTAACCTAAGATAGTATTACACAAACACAGGTGACATGTTGGCATAAGGGGAGTTGAAATAGCCCTGATTTTTTAGAACAAAAAGGTCGAAGTTCAAGTTATACTTGCGAAAAAAATCAAGTACTGAAAAAAAGGTATTTTTTTTAATAATTATAAAAAGACTTGGAAAAAAAAATGATGGTACACAACGCTATAAGCTTTCAATCTCAGTTCAAAATCCTATTGCCAAACTAGTGTTGAGGTATATGGCAAGTGGAAATATCACTCAACCCTTTCATGAATTTTCTGCTCACATTATGATATAACTGTAGCAGGCTGAGTAGCACCATCGTGATGTGAGTTCGAATTCAATTCCATATATATGTATATATTTAATTATTTTACAGTACTAAAATACTAAAGCATTGCGTTAAAAAAGTTTGTTTACAATTTAATTTACTATACAACTCTTGCACTTCTTTATACAAATTAATGATTTAAAACCACTACAGCAAACCAGCTGCCTGTTTTATTTTATTTATTTCTTTTTCACCAACAGACACACACAGAACTAACCCTGTTCATTCATCTTTTGCTGGAATCAGTCCACCCAATTTGCCTGCTAAGGAGGACACTGAAGCTAAGACATGATGCTGTCCCAAGGTAAAGAGCTATCAACACAACGGCGAATGCCATTCAGCTTCTGAGCAGCGTACAGAACCCTGCCCAGCCTGGGCTGGAGCGGACAGGCTCTGCCAAGGGGAGCATGCGGCTCACTGCGACCTGTGTCTAACAGCAGTTCTTAGAGAGTCATGACATGTCTGAGCAACGAACTTGTCTCACAATGTTGTAGAAAACTGTTTTACAGTATAGCACGTGAGGTGAGCACCAGAAAGCACATTTTGTGGACTGACACATTCCCTTGAATCCTGTCCACCTCATTTCAGATTTCACTGGCTGTGTTCATAATGAACACTACTGCTCATCACCGGATGTGTGGCCAAAAGCAAAAATGGTTGAAAAGCTTTGTTTCCTTTAGAAATAAAAATTTTCATCTTCAAATGAAAGTAAACTTCTGTTTTTAAACGTCTCAGTACCTTAGCATTGTTCAAGTTGCCAAAGCTTAGGTAGGCAAAGTGCTTCTAAAACACTATTTAAAATATTTATATATACCTACATGTGTACATCTCCTAAGGGGCTGTGTAGATGTACATCTATGCATTTATCGTCCTACAGGACACCACCGGATGAACAAAACTCAGAAGCTTTTAAAATGTCCACATTTTAAAAACTAAACTCCTAGAAGAACAGGTAATTTAGGATAAAAACTTGGGTGAAAAGGCACCCCTTTCCTTCTGGGGTACTGGAGTACATTGGTAGCATCTCCATCATAAAAAAGGCATTATATTTTTAGCTATGAAAGACACCATTTTCTTAGCACCATTTCGTAGAACACCCAAACAAATTCAGTGTTTTGTTGCTATTCATGTATGCTTCCTGTAGCTATTTTGATAAATAAAAGTTAATATTAAGATTACAGTAAAAACTGCATGTTAGAAACCATAATTCCAGTATTTCAGTACATCATAGATTCAGCACCAGATGGTCTTTTTAAGATTCCTGCAACTGTAATACGACAGTACTTGATTTGTGTTCTGTGACTACCCAAACTTGGTATTATTAAAAGTGGTCACAGATGTATAGAGTTGTGTGTGCGGGGAAGGAATCACATTTACATCAGCATCTTGCCCGATAACAGAACCAGTGTTTAAGAATGTGAGTTGTGGAACATCCCCCCACCCCCCCGTTGTTGTTTTTTTTTTTTCCTTTTTGCATAGAATGCTTTGGTCTTTTTCTCGATGCCACCTGTAGGTGGGTCAGTGGACCTAAGTGCTTCCGAAGGATGAGCACTCTCCCTGTGGGAGAGGGAGGCTCACTGTGAACACCGAGCCCCGACCCCACCGTGTCCCCGTGAGCCTGCAGCCCAGGCCACCCTCAGATGTACCTGTTGTAAGGCCCAGTGACTCGAGTGAAAGCGTATGGAGCCGTGGTGACCGTGGAGTCGGTGGTCACGGAGGAGGTCTTCTCGCCCAAGGACCTGATGAAGCGCAGGTAGGTGGGCTGGTGTGGCTCCTGCGGCTCGGCGGGCTCCCGCTTTACCTTCTTGCTGTGGGCTTTCTGGGCCACGTAGTCTGGCCCGTACTTTTCACACTCCTCCTCCTTCTCCCGGGCCTTCTCTGCCATTTTGGCCTCCCACAGTGCCAGGCCATGCTTGGGCTCGTTCATGCTCTTGTGCTGGTAGAAGACAAGCGAGACCCTGCTGGGGTCGGTTCTGTCAGGGTCGTTCAAGGGCGTGGTGGCGTGTAGCTCGCGCTTGGCACACTCGATAAGGATGGAACCATGCGTGGGGGCCACGGCCACGCCTCCGATGTCGGGGTCTAGGAAGCTCTGCTCACTGTCCGACCACACCTCGTCGTCCTCGGTTGCCTGAGGCACCTCCTGAGAAGGTACCGCAGCCTGCTTTTCCTGACCGTTGGCTTCACTGAGCTGGTACAGCAGTCCCTGCACGGACAGGGGCCTGTCCGGGGGGCATCCCGGGGGCACCCTGGGCAGCCCGTTGGCCGTGTGGGGAAGCCCAGCATTTTCCTTGCTCTGCAGGTGCAGGGCGTGCAGGGAGCTACTGATGCTGCCTGTGGCTGCGCTGTGGTTAGGGACCAGGGGTCCAGGTGGGTTGGGTATGCTGTTCTTACTGTTTTCGTTGGGATGCCCCAGACTGGATGGACACCCGGAAGCTGCGCCCACGCAGTGGCGGTCCATCTCGCGGGCTACGTAGGGAGGAAAGGACCCTACACAGTGGACGCCCTGCATGGGCGGGGTTCCGTAGCCCAAGTACTTGGAGGGGAAACTCTGGGTGTCTTCAAACCTTTGCTGGTAGAGGCTATGGATTGGTGGGAGGTTAAGCTTTGCAAGATGGTCTTGGCTCGGGTACCTGTACAGAATGGGCTGAGGCTGGGAAGAGTAGGAGCCCAGGTAAGGGGCGCAGTTGTCCACGGATGCAGTCCCGTTGCACGGGTAGGAAGGGTATTGGTTATTCTGATTTAAGAGCCCAGGGTAGGGGCTCACAGGATTAGGAGAACTCAAATATGAACCCGAAGCGTGGGAAGAGGGGGAATAGAAGTCCCCAGGGCTGGCACCTCTGTATACATCTGCACCGTGGGAAGAGCTTGGGTAAGGACTAACTGGGTTGGGTCGTTTCATGTACAGGCCGGGTGCTGCTGAGGAGGAGTAGGCACCAATGGCCTCAGGCTGGGGCTTCCCGGACAAGCTGTGCTGTGGCGGTTCGGGTGTCTGCGGCTGCGGCTGCAGCTGCGGCTGCGGCTGGGGTGTCTGCGGCTGCGACTGTGGCTGTGGCTGTGGCTGCTGCCTTTGCATCAGGGGCTGCTGTGTGGCTGGTCCTGAAAGTCGCAGAAGTTCTGTGGAGAGGGGAAAGAGCAGAAAGAGGCCTTCTCAGCAAGAGCGCTTAAATGTAGGTGAGAAAAACTACCTGCTTTCTACTCCTCCAAAATGAAAGGCAAGGTCCGGTGAGTGTGCGGAGAGTTTCCTGCTACCCTGCGCC